TCCGGGCCCGGTTCCGACGCTCGTCTCGCCACCCCAGTCATGTTTATCTCCTATAGTCTGGTGTGGTAAGAGCAAAGGCTCGAAACATCATTTCCTGCCGTACTTCCTTTTTTTCCTTCTTCTCCTTCTCCTCTCCTTTCTCCCCGCTCTCCCTTCTTTATTTCTTAGAGAATCAAAGGGCCGCCGACTTCTTGTACGATTTCGTGTTTTACTTACAGCTATTCACTCACTTTCTTTTTTTTTCGACCACGGGTATTAAGTTACTTATTTACGCTTAAGTTATACAAAAATATACGTTTATTAAATCTCTTTATAAAGAACTCCATAAAAAAAAAATTTATATACAGTCAAACAAACATTAATAAATACTCTCTGTAAAGCAACCTTATAGCGCGTTGCAGTAACCAACTTCGGTCGTGAACCTCTTTTGTGCTTCCAGGGGTGGCGGCATAGCGTAAGTAATAGTCGCTCAAGGTTATAAGTTAGAGAAATGATGTTAAAACAAGCAAGATGCGTACTGAAGTAGTTAGCAATCGCCAGCTGCCCCTGGAGGAGAGCTCTAACCTACGCATTCTAAGGCATTTTCTAGCACAGAATAAAGTAAAATTCATGGGGCACTAATTGATTGAAAAATAATGCTTCGTTATTCGTAAAACTGAGTGCTAACTGTGTCTCCGGGTGTGGTGAAGAAGAAAACAGCGCGACTGGTAAGCCTAACTAAATAGAAAGCCCCCTCCCCTTTTCTTTTTCTTTTTCTTTTTCTTTTCTAATTAGGTACGTCATCCCTCCTTTTTACCGTCTCCCCCTACTTCAATGTTTGGTTTTCTTTGTTGAAGTACCGCTTTCACCCCCCTCCGGTAGAGCGTCCAACTCACGCTTCCGCGTTGAAGCCCTTAATGCCTTCTGACTTCGTGTTTATCATAGCTGGGAAGCTTTTATCTTGTTTATCGTCTAAGCTGTAGAGAGGCTATGCAGACTTGTTCACGATATGTTTAATCAGTTCATCTTTCGACTGTGGGACGTTACATGTTGACTTGAAGGTGACGGACGCTCTTGATCGATGGGGAGAGCCACGATAGGCTGCCGAGTTATCACATCTCCATCCGGACCGTCGCGGCTCCGAATGAGCTCGAATTCCTGCCACGCCACCCCTACGGCAACTTGAATACGTTGGGAACTTTGACGGCCGTGCGGGCCACCAAAATGCTGCAGTTGATGAGCTGAATAGGCCCGTGACACTCGATAATACGGGTAGTTAGTTGAATATGATGGCATCTATGAGCCGCGTGATGGAGAGAGCAGAGCTAGAATCTTTTTTTTTTTTTTTATAAATATTACACAATCTCTCCTGGTCGCTATAATCCAATATTAATCTCCTCTAAAGCACAGGAAAAGAAGGCCTTCGAAGGGTGGGAGTGTACGTGTATCGCAATACCAACTATTTCCACAGCGACTTACCTCATTTCCAAAATGGAGCCAAGTCTACAAAACGATGCCCTTGCAAGAATGGGTCGATGTATACTAGTTGTTTTCAAGCTGGACGGGATGATGAGGAAGAAAGGTCTGCGTGTTGGGTATGAGGAAGAGCTCCATAGGGTTTGACTTCAAAAGAGACGGACGGTCAAGTTATTGTCTTTTTGATGTATTGGGTTTTGTCGGTCCACAAACCTCAACCGATTCGTGGCCATAAATAGCCATACCACCAGTGCCATTGACCCGCTGGCACGGCCTGGTGTAACACTACATCTTGGTTCACGCCCTCGCACACCAAGACATCTATCATGGAAGATAATCCGTGTAGCTTTGCAACAGCCATGGCCCATCCGCCCGTCTCGGGGGTATCGAGTCTGGCGCCGTGCTCCCGAAGTAAACGAAACAGGTCCAGCCGTTCTTTGAACACGGCGAGGATAATGGGAGGTGGACTACCCTCGTTGACATCCGTGAGTCCACCTAATAGCAATTTGACGACAGAAAGGTTCCCTTTCCTATCGTAAGTTAGACCATATGAATAACAAGATAAAGTGATGGAGATAGTCTATCAAGCGGGGTGGAGAATCACGCAGGACTTACCATATTGCATACATCAGAGGTGAATGGGGTGGATGAGGTATGTTGGGATCTGCACCAGCCTCGAGCAGGAGTCCAACGATTGATTTATTGTCGGTTTTTATAGCTGAGAGAAGGGGGGTATAGGTCTTCACACCTTTGGCGAAGTTGGGGTTTGCGCCTCTATCCAGGAAATAGTGCACCATCTCCACGTCGCCAAAGCCAGCGCGGCACCTAAGCCAGCCAGTTGGCCACCCGCAATAAGACCGCTTAAATACTTTACTGTTGGGTCCTAGTATGGCGGCAACTCGCTCGTAGTTTGGGGGGGAAGGCGTGGTTTGGAGCACTCTTCGCAGCACCCGGATATCCGGGTTCCATCTCGGTTCTGGTTCTTCCCGGGGCAGGTTGATTGGTCTCTTGTCCAGGGCGAAGTCGAAAGCAGCTTGGCGGCCGTGTTTACTGGCGTCGAGGAGGATTTGGTGCTGCCGGCGGACTGGCAGAACACCTTCGTCGCGATACTCGGCAATGTGAGAAAGTAACAGTTCGATCATGCCGACATTTCCCTGCATCGCGGCTGCATGGAAAGCTGTGCCGAAAACCGTACTACGGACGTCGGGTACTGCGCAGCCTTCGACACCGCCGATCATCAGACTCTCGACATACGAATGCTTCCCTAGGTAGATGGCGGCAACAGCTATATCTGCCTTGAGATCTCTGTCGGTGCATTCATCCAGCCCTTCGGCTTTGAGTTTTCGAAGTACGGTTAGAAGATCAGCACCCATGGCTAGGTGGACAAGGGAATCGGTGCATGCCGAGATAGCCTCGTCTCCCGTGTTGCCGTCTTCTTCACAGAGAGCTTTGGCAGCCCGGCCAATCCGGCCAAGGAACGACGTAGTCGAGTTCTCCCATAACACTTGATATGCTATATAGGAGCGGGCGTAGGAAAAAGAAGCTTGCTCCGTCCGCTTACTCTGGGGAAGCAGCGCGATGTGAAGTGGCGGGTCGTCAAGCTGGCTTAGAAGACGAAAGCGGAAGATGGCATAGTCGATATAAGTCTTAAATAAGCCTAACAAGAGGAGTGTTAAGTCACAGCTCGCAAAAGTAGCGGGCTGCATGATGCGAAATAGACAAAGTCATAGGCTTACGACTGACGATCCTGATTCTCATCACGCGCTCGATTCGGCGGGACTTGACAATGTACTCGAATATGAACTGTACAAGCTCCGGTGGGAGTTCAAAGAGATGCATCTCTCGTGTAGATAGTAGATAGTACGATGCGAACGCCGCCAAAGACGGTAAGTGACGAGGAGCAAAGGTCGGTGGGTGCTTGGTCCGTTATAACTATGCGTGCTCACCTGTTTGTCTCGCGGGGTATAGAGAGAATTAATGCTCAGTACAAATTTTTGCCGCCAACCAGTCTGCGAATATCGAAATACGTTTAATCTTCTCATATAACTACAAACCGGATACCGGTGCTGTATTGGTGACGAAAGCTTGCAGCATCAATCGTGTGGAGAGTAATGTAATGTTGTGGGAGTTCACGAGTCCTGTGACCAGCATCCACGGTGAGGCACAGTGAGGGGGTGGCTTATCCAGCCACCTTATTGTTGGGAACCCGCATATCGGTGCCTGCATCGCCAAGTTTTAGGCAGAGCCGCGTAGTTGGTCTTACCAGCAATTCCGTTGATACCATTGTCTCGCTGCGGCTAGAGATAATCATCATAGTTAGAATGGTCGGAGGCTTTCTGTAAGAGGTATGAATAAACGGGGCACCTAACGTCAGGTACCTCCCAATCTCGGTGCTCCCACCATCTTCGTCGACCCGGATGGCCGTAGGGTTGGTGAGAATTACTGAGATAAATGTTATATTCGACGAAATAGGAGAGGGGGAATGCAGGTAGCAACATGAAGAAAACGCCGGATCGTGTGGCAAGTGTGGATATAGTTACTCTAACGGTGCGCCTTTGGGATAGGGTAAATGACTCTAGAAGGACAATTGCGAAGAGGATACACTATGCTAGGGCAGCTCAAATAGCAAAAGGACTCGATACTAGTCGCTGTGTCGAGCAGTGCCTCCTCGATGGCCAGGTCGCCATTATGGACGGGGAGTTGGAAAAGCATAGGGTTCTGATCGATAAGGGCGACGACGAGCAGTTTATGATCTGGAGAGGGATTCATCAAGGCGCGGGTACCTGAGCAGATCAACAACTCTACGGCCAGCATGGAGAAGATCGTCCAGATCGACGGGATAAAGAAGGAACGCAAAGAGTTTATCCCCGGCTTTATCACGGGCCTCTTCTTCTTCGGCATGCACCTAGTAGACGCTGTCGGCGAGGCCGGCTTCGCGGGTTAAGACGTCGTTGCCTATCCTAAAAACGCCTATAGCAACCGTCTTCGGCTACCTGCTCGGTGCGGGCGTCAGGCGGGACGGCGCGTCTCCGCCGATGAGTACAAGGGTCTTGGAATGTTGGGAAGAGGCTAGATACTGTGTTGTCTATTCAGAGTGCCGCTTGAATCCAAAACGAGAAAAACACAAGGACAAAAAGCTAGCCGTGTAAGAACAGTCGATATCATGACATTCCGGTATCGAGACTCTATCTATTCCCACCATGATCCTGTGTCTCCTTAAACTAGTCACGTAACCTGGATCAGGAAGTTTAATAGATCAAGACATCGATGCTGCTTCCCTAGCCATCCAGTTTCGATAAATCTCGTGTGTAGGCGTGTTTATGATAGAATATATCATAGATTAAACTGCCATCAATCGTGTTTTACTTATGATCGTCACGTTGAAGCTTTGTTCCAGGGGAGCTAACAACACCGCTTCTATGCCTCGTCCCACGATCGTCGCGCGGTACAAAACTGGCAGAGCAAGTCATCGCTTACTAGATTTAAGAACAAAAGGAGAGAAGAATTCTATAAAAAAGGAACAAGTGTCGCATCCAACAAAAGACTGGTCCCAGTGAGGCTTGAACTCACGGCCTTCGCATTACCAATTTTACAAGTGTCTTATAATATTAGTACGACGCTCTAACCAACTGAGCTATGGGACCCGATGCACGATTCTGGTTGTTTCTCACTCTAACAATAGGGGTGGAACGTTGAGACGAACACCAAACTCGCATACCGAAATTCTTAGGTTTTAATAAGTCGACAATTTATCTCGAGAATCATGCGTAGTCGAATGGGAAACATGGGCTGGGCACATTAAACCACTGTATTGGACTATGGGATTATCCCATAATATTACGTGTAAGAAGAATTACAAGAGCTGTGCTCGAAGCCGGTCGTATCCGATGGGGATGGATGTGCAGTCTTCTTGATCGTACAAGGTCTATTATTATCGCCAAATCAGACAGACTCACCGTGGTTCGTAGGTGTTCACAGGGTACCCATAGTCGGTGTAGCTACACGAGAGAGAGAGAAAGACAAAGAAAAGAAGGAAGAAGGCTGCAAAACATTGTGTCTATGGCGACGTCCCGTCGGGTCTGCCAGCCTTGGTAACTATTTCCACATGCCTTGTCGCAGGTCTTCAAGACCGGTCCCCGACTTTTCTCATCAGCTCTGTTGGACGAATGCTCGGCTTTACTAGACTAGGTACTACGTAGGTAAGTAGTAGCTATGTACTTACGTACTTATCCGACGTCACCGGTGGCCAATCGTAAAATTTCCGCGATCCCCCTAGTTAGTGAGAGGTAGGGCCCTGGGCCTACCCAGCTAGCCTCACGGGATTGACTCACGCTACGGGACGAGACGAGAAAGAGAGACAAGGCAAGACACGCGACACGGCCGGCCGGCCGGACGCGTCAAAATTCGCCGAGGTGGTAGTAGATAACTTTAGTTTTTGTCTCTTTCTTTTCGGTGGAACCCGGCGCGGGCTAGCGTGGGTGATACGGATCGCCCATTTCTTGCCGACGATGGCTGTGGAACTTTTGTCTTTCCCTTTTTTTTTTTTGTTCCCCTTTTCCTTTTCTTTTGTTTCTTCTTTTTTCTCTCTCTCCCTTGCTGACGTAAAAAGTGCCAACCGTTATCCCAGAGCGATGGGCAGCCCTTCTTCCGTACCTCCGCCAGAGCAATCCTGGCGCAATCTAGACTAGATTGGTATTGCATGGGGAATATCCACATTTGCTGATCTGCGTTACCTAGACTAGTACCTTACCTAAGGGCAGCACCTACATACTATAGTAATTCTCCTTGGTGAACCAGCTGCTATACATAGCATAGTGTAGGTACTTCCTGCACTAAAATTAACTAATAACGAACTACGTACTTGGTATAGAAAAGAGGAAAATCAGGAGAAACGAAAGAAAGGAAGGACGCGTCAAACAAGTTTATTGACCTATAGTTATATTTTTCTGTTTTCGTTTCTCTTCTTCTCTCCTCTTCTTGTTTTTTTTTACAGGTCGGCGTTCTTTCAGGGCAGCAAGCACTTGTTTCGTGCAGGCATCGGCTTATCTACCTAGCCATGCTGATCACCTGTCGTATTGGCTGAGACTTGACATCGCAAGACGCGTTTTGTGTCATGGTTGTGGTACGCCATGGAATGGTGCAAGCTCGGTAGAGGTTAACGGGGGCTTGTATTGACAAGCCCCCTTGCTTGGAAGACTCAGTACTTGCTAAAGACTAGCAAATAACCCAACGAGTTCGTTCTCTCATGGTGTCGAAGCCTGGTGATGCGAAAGCTATACGAAGAAAACGAATACCGCTACTAGGTAGACGTGATCCTTCTATGCACTAAGCCTGTCATGGTAATTACTTCGTCTTTTTGAAGGTGTAAGCTGTGGTAAGCTTGCTGCGAATACACAGTACTCCGTACATACCTAGGTACACAAGGCGTGCCAGGATGGGAGCCCTGTGAGTCTGTGTGAGTCAGTAACCCATTCCAGTGACGATAGGACAGGGTCTTACTGGCAAGTAGGCATCGCTATGTACGTATATATGGACTTAGTTTACCCAAGATAGTGTAGTGTATGTAGGACCTCTAGCGGTGTGCCCTGGCGTAGTCACTACCGAACAGCCCTGGTGGCTGTGCCGTAGTCGCGCATACGATAAGGGAACCTTGACACGTTTTCTTGACCGCCCACTCTGCCGATTTCCAAATGGCTAGACTCTAGCTCCCTTCTGGAACAAGGCAGGTACATACTATAGTACTAGCATGTAAGCTGACAGCGGTTTCAGCTCTCCAGCTCCAGCCCCCCCGAAACCCCAGCTCAGTTGACATGGCAACACGTGATGCGGCGCCCGGGATCGTCCCTTTTCTGCATAATTCGGCACGAGAATTGGATGATGCTCGCCTCTCTCCCTCTCAGCCGATGAGGAGATTGTTCGGCTGACGCCTGTTTATGCGGAGTTCTTCTGGGGTATCCGGGTCAGCTCGAGGCCAGTCGTCTGTGAAAAGGGTATCCCGAGAGAGCAAAATGTCTTGCATTAGATTAGGTGCCAACCTATCCGTACCTAGCTTCCATAGTCCTATCGGGATCTTCGGGTCGATCCTGCACTGACCTCATGCTCCAGCCCACCCGGGGCCGCTCATGTGCCCGACTACGCTTAAGCTGTGAATTTGAAAGGTGGTTTGCTGTGTACCCAATACCGCCCTCAGTCAATTCCGACTATATAATACTACGGTAGCTATCGATACTTGAGTTGAATCAATACAATACACAAGTACCTACATACTCAGTACTACGTACATGGAACTAAGCTGGTGAGAAGCAAGCACCATACGCACTAGATAATGTGATGGATATACTCTAGTTAGTTAGCCTCAAGGCTAAGTATAGGCGACTACCTTACGTACACTAAAGGCACTACGCGCGTAGTATCAACTGTAATACCTCGCATGTGTCATGGGACTGGTAAAACTACCGGTAGCACGTGGATTCTCGGAAACCCGGTAGCTCATCAAAAATAACAGCGTAGCATCGCGTCGCTATACTATGTTAATCCAATGGGAGGGAGGGCGTGGCTGCGGAGAGAGAGGCCCGATCCCGACGTCCGAAAACGTCGACTCTGCTTGGGCTGGGCTGGGCAGCGATCGGGCGTTGACTGTTGACTGACTGGGAGCGCATTATCTAGATCCAACACGACACCGAACCACGATACCAAAATCGCAAAACCCGCGAGATGCCTGCGGTCGTGGGCCCCATCCGCTGTCCCTTCGTTTTTTTTTTTCTTTCCCCTCCGTCCCTCCTCCGTTTCCGTTGGGCCGAGGCTCCATTGTATGGGTAGCTGTTAGTCTAGATACTTAAGCCTGTTCGAGTGAGTTCCTCTTGCGGCGGCCTGCATGGTAGCGCTGAGCTGACGAACCACTTTACCTACTTCGCTCTCACAGGGCATCATGGATGTCTACTACTATAGTACATAGTAGGTATCCGTAGGTATGTATAATACATCTGCCTGGTATGCAGCAGGCTGCCGTTGGTGCGAGAAAGGCGATCCATCATTGTCCCAGTGGTCTGGATACCCCCGGCCATGCTGACGGCCCACCTGGTTTGTTCCCCGATTGTCCTGTCATGTGCACCATTTTTGGCATACTAGCTATCGTCCTAGCGAGCAGAGTGGACTTTTTTCGCTGCCGGTTTTTCTTTTTACGTAGCTTGTTGGTATAGGTAGGAAGAGTACCATGTCGCCCCTCAGCCTCGAACCTCACAGTGTGTAGATTAGCTTGCTTTGGAACGTGGTCCGATCTTCATCCATGGCTTGTGCGTTGCGACCGATCCTGTGATGCTTGGCCGCCCTATAACCCATCGCATTTTATGCTCGTCTCTTGGCCCAATTGATAGCTCCGCGACTACCTAGACTTAGTTGGTTGCGTGCATAAGCATTAAAATACCTAAAATAGCTGGGTTCAGATTATAGTATCTACAGCGTCGACTAGATTCGCACAAATGCGGAATGAGCGGTTTCCGACTTTCTACCGAATTCGCCAAATCTATCGTGTAAAAAAGTCTAGAACACAACCCGGCCTGGTCGCGCTGAGATGACCCCGGTCAAGTACCTAACACGACGCACAAGATCGGTATCAAATGAGATGACGTTATGTCGTTGCCAGCCCGCACAAGCTTCCAGCGGCAGGAGCCGTCATAGACTCTGGGACGTATACATAGTATTACGTAGCTCAATACCACGGTAAGATAAGTACCTAAGGTATCTTAGCATGGTGGAGATTCCCGGAATGCCAAATGTACCGATAGGGCAGGATCATGACAAGCTGGTTGGCTGTCAGGCCTCGTTCGCTGGCGGCGGTGTTCTGCTTGGGGGTTACATTTGCGGGATGCCAACAAAGCGTGTGGCGTTTAGCTGGGATCACCGCCGACCAGGGTTTGCCAGGGCGTCTGAAATTACTCCGCAATTGGCTCATTAATTCGCCGTGATGAACACAGCCGACTCGTCTGTTCCGCATCCCAGTGCTTGAGGTGATATTGCCCTGAGCCGTTACAGGTTTACGAAGGGTAACACCGATGCTCCGACGAAGATGACGAGTGGCATCAATCAACTTATCGCCCATTCGTTTCATGCCGGCAGGCTGTGTGATGGCAGATTCGGGCCAGATTACGTACCACTGATGTACTTACATATACATGCCCGGAATTGGCAAAAGGCCATGCAAGTTCCTCAACTAATCGTGCAGCCTGAAATGAGCTCATCTGAAGTGACTGCTGGGTGCTCGTAAAAAGAAATTCTCGAGCGGTCAGGCTAGTACCTGATTGGGACCTGCACGGCTTGTTGATGTCCGGATTAGGGACGCCAGCTGAGAATGGAGGCCGCTCATTGGTACAGGCGGCGATATCCTTGCCGCTTTCACCGTAGCGTGGGCCTTCTCCCATGCAGCTGGGCGATGGCTGAAGCAAGTACCTGGGTAGGTAGCCCGTAGCCTGGGCGAAGATGGCGGGCAGCAGCACAGCAGCACAGCATCGAGAATGGCTTCACATTGCCACATTGTCCACATTTGCTCGCGGGGTGTGTCGCACTGCATCAAGCCCTTATCTGCTGGCTTGCCATTCGTGAAAGTCGTGCAGTTGTCGGCTGCGACGACGAGAATCGCCGGCGCCTT